ACTCATTAGTATGCCTTTTTAAAATCACCCTTTCTTGCTCTCCTTTCTATATGTTACAGTATACCCGTTTGTGCATTTGTTTACTTATAGGCGAGGATCCACATAGGAGGGACAACATACTGTTTTTTTTTCTTCCTGATATTTGGGTGACGTTTCAAATATTGTACATTTTAGGTCCTTCATTTTCTGCTAATTTTGTGATTTCATTTTTCTTTAGCGCTGAATAATACTCCATTTTACATATGTACCAAATTTTCATTGTCCATTCAGCTGTTGATGGACAACTAGGGTTGGTCTATATCCTTACTATAATGAAGAGAGTAGCAATAAACAAGGGGTACTAATATCTCTATGGTAAAGTATGGAGTTCTCTGGGTAGGAGTGAGATAGTTGGATCATACAGTAGTTCTAGGGTTTTTTTTTTATTATTATTTTGTTGTTGTTTTTGAGACAGGGTCTCCCTGTAGCCCTTGCTGGCCTGTAGCTCCCTATGTAGACCAGACTGACCTCAATCTCACTGAGACCCATTTACCTTTGCTTCCCAATTGCTGGGAGTTTTTCCAAGAACTTCCAAACTGATTTCCATAATGGCTGTATTAATTTATACTCCCACCAGCAGTGTAAATAAGTGCTCTTCTTTCTCCACATCCTCTCCAACATTTGTCAGATTTCTAGGTGATAGTCATTCTAACTGGAGTGAGGTGGTATCTCACAGTGGTTCTAATTTACTTTCCCTAATGACTAGGGATGTTGAACAGCTTTTAAAATAGTTATTGGCTATTTGTTTTTCTTATTTTTGAAAACTGTCTATTCACTTTGTCAGCCCATTTGTTGATTGGTTGTTTTATTTCCTTGGTATTTAATTTCTGACTCCTTTGTAAGTTTTGGTTATTAGCCCTTGTCTGATATATAGCTGATAAAGGTCTTTTCTCATTCTGTCTGTTTGTGTGCTCTGCTGATAGTTTCCTTTGCCACGCAGAAACTTTTTAATTTCATATAGTTCCATCTTTTAATATTTGGGGATAATCCTGTGTTATTAATGTTAGGTTCAGAAAGTTCTTGCCTACCCCAATTTCATGAAGAATATTCCAAATGTTTTCAGCTAGAAGTTTCAGGGTTTTAGTTTTTTAATTTTTTTTTATTTTATGTGTATGAATGTATTGCCTGCATGTATGTAAAGCATGCCCGTGTTGTGCAATGCCCGCAGAGGTCAGGCGAGGGCATTGGATCCCCTGGAACTAGAGTTACACAAATGGTTGTTAGCAGGTGCTAGGATTTGAACCTGAGTCTTCTGTAAGAGCAGCCAGTGCTCTTAACCACTGAGCTATCTCTCCAGCCCAGGCTTTCAGATTTTTAATTAAGTCTTTGATCCGTTTGGTCCCCAGATTGTATGGTGACCTCTCAAGAGTGCCATGAAGGAAGAATGAGACAGTACGGAAGTGGCTCAAGAATGACTCTGTTCCTTCTTTCCAAGTCAAACATCTCTACTTTTGTTTTTAAGTTTTATTTTTGAGAATTACATACTTGAGTATTGTCTTTGCATTATTTTCATCCTTCCAGTCCCCCACCAACTCCTCCCATGTCCCCCCACTCCCTCTCAGTTTCTTGTCTCTTATTTGATTAGTATTGTTATATATACATACATAAATTTATAAATATAGCCATATATTACACTGAGTCCATTTAATGGTGATTGTACACTGTGTTTAGGGTTGTTCATATGGGATTAGATAACTTCTCAGGAAAATATTCTCTGGAGAAAACTGATTCTCCTTCCCTCAGCATGTATTGCTAAGCATCCCTAGTATTTTAAATTTTGTTTGTTTAACCTATTGTTTCCATTTAAGATTTTAAAAAAGAGTACCAAAGTTTTAATAAGTTGATACATCATTCACTTACTGGGTGGAGGGTGCATGTAGTTCACCTTAAGAAACTAGCTCAGGTCAGATGCACACGCCTTTCATTCCAGCACTCGGGAGGCAGAAGCAGGTGGATCTCTGTGAGATTGAGGCCAGCCTGGTCTATTTAGTGAATTCCAGGTGGGGCTACAGGGAGACTCTGTCAAGAAAGAAAGAAAACAAGCTCATGCTGTTGCTTTCACTTTCATCTCAGTAGACCTTGCAGTTACAATTTTGGAACTAATGGGAGTTCCTTTCCGTAAGACTTAATGTTCAGAAGCACAGCAGAGAATTATTGGCACCTATTTATTTATTTAATTTTACATTTTTTGTTATTGTTGAGGTACAGAAAATTGAATATAGAATCTTGCAAATGCTAGGCAAAAGCTCTACCACTGTGCCCTGTATCCAGCCCTTTTAAATTTTTTTTTTATTTTGAGACTGGAGCTTGCTGAGTTGCCCAGCAGGCTGTGAACTTTCAACCTTCCTCTCTCAGATTCCTCAGTAGTTCCTGTGCTGCCAAGCCTGGCTTTTTTTTTTAATTAGAGAATAAGAGTTTGGATAAGGTTTTAAAAGACTTTTTAAAATGTTTTACTTAAACTTTATTTTTATTTTATGTGCGTGTGTGCTTTGCCTGCATATATGTGTGTGTACCATATATGTGTAGTGTCCACAGAGGCCGAAAGAAGGCATTGGATCCCCTAGAACTGGGTGCTGGGAACTGAACCCAGGTCCTCTTCAAGAGCAGCCAGTGCTCTTAACCACTGAGCCATCTCTCCAGTCCCTTAAAAGACTTTGTAGGGTAGTTTTAGGTTCACAGAAAAATTGAAAGGAAGATAACAATTCCTCACTTACCCCTGTTCTCCATGCATAACATCCACCACTAAAAGTATCTCCCACTAGAGTGAAAGTTGGTACACATGGTGCACCTCAATCATGATTATCCAAAGTACACAGCTCACATTCATTGGACAAAGTTTTCCCTCTGAGATTTCCAGAAAATTGTTACTAATTATTCATATTTGCATTCAGTAATACTTGTTCAGACATTTGTCTCCTTATCTCTTGTGGACTTATGCAATTGCATTGTGTTAAGATTAAATCTACTACTGGGCATGGTGGCGCATGCCTTTAGTCCCAGCACTTGGGAGGCAGAGGCAAGTGAATCTCTGTGAGTTCAAGGCCAACCTGGTCTACATAGGTGCCAGTGCCAGCCGGCCAAAATGGACAGTACCTGAAAGGGGGAGTGAGGATTGAAACAAATAAAAGAAGACAGGAAAGACACTTCTTGGGAGGGCTCACAGTGAATACTGCAGCCTCGATTTATTTCAGTTCTGTCTTTTTATACAGAAGAACTCAATTAGTTACAACTGCTGTTCTTCCCCACCTGTATCTAAGGGTCAAGGAGCAGTCAGATCAAAGGCTTCCACTATTGCAGGTGTTGTGAGACTCTCCATATAAACATATTCCTCCTAATAAGGCAGATTAAATACTGGTGTGCATAACACACACTCACAACTGCTGTATTTCCCCACCTGTATCTGAGGGTCAGGGAGCGGTCAGATCAAAGGCTTCTTGGATCCTTTTGTTTACCACTAATGCCTCAAGGTCAGGTATTGTGAGGCTCTCCAGAAAACTTCTTCCTCCTGAATGGGCAGGTTAAGTACTGGTTTGCATGACACAAACTCAGTAAACGAGGCTGCCAACAGCTCAATGATTAGTGTCTCCGGACATCTCCCCCTTCCTTATTTAATTTTAATAACCCCAGATTATGATATATCTGGGACAGAAGGACCGTGCCTGTCTTAGGTTGTCTTCTGCCAGAGCAAAGCCTTACCCGTCATCGGCACATAGCTTCCATCAGGTACGCCCTGTCTTAGGTTGACTTTCTCCCAGAAGAGCTTACCCGTCTTTGACTACCAGCCTCTGTTAGGGGAGGGAGCTCAATCTCATGTGATGCACAGCTGCCTTGACTTTCCACAGGCATAAATAACTTTACTGCCACAAGATGAAAACAAAGACAGTAGGAAAAGCATGACCACAATGGTAAAGTGACTCTCAACTTTTTTAGAATATCTGCCGCTACTTACAGGGTGGAAATGTTTGTGGAGATTTTCTTTTTTTAATCTATTATCTCTTGGCAATGACACTTTGACATTGGTACAGTATCCACTTTGTCCCACAAGCACACAGTCATCTACTTGTACACACCTGGACTTATTATTTTTAACAAAACAAACAGGCAACCTGCTTCCCAATCCAGAATAATCAGGCATTTTAAAACAGGCTGAGCAATTAACCAAGAGTCATGC